CAGTTGGCGCCTGCTGGCAATGGGTGACAGGCTGTACCTCATTGTCCATGGAAACATGAGACTGGTCCCAATCTCTCTCTCTTTCTTTTGCAGCCTCTTTGCTGGCAAGATGGTGAGTTTGTCCCACTCGTTTCATTATCAGTGGGAAATAGGTCAATGGAGGGATGATAGGAGTTACTATAGAGAACTTTCTGGGTGTCTGGCTGATGAGTCTTGCCCACATGCTCAGGGTTTAGCTGATCGCCATATTTGGGGTCGGGAAGGAATTTTCCTCCAGGGTAGATTGGCAGAGGCCCTGGAGGTTTTTCGCCTTCCTCTGTAGCATGGGGCACAGATCACAGCTGGAGGATTGTGTCCCAGAGTCCCACAGAAGTGCCAGCACTGAGCTGTGTCTTCTCAGATAGCACCCCATGAAATGAGTGGGACGGGTCATGTCTGCCAGGCTGGTTACGCTGGGGGCGGTTCACACTGCTTAGGGCGGTGGTCTCAGGCTCTCTGCAGACTCAGGGAGGCACAGCTGTACTGGTCACGCTGTGTTCCCTGTAAGCCGAGCACTTGGATGGCCACCCAGGAGAGATTCAGGTGCCACCCAGCTGATTAGCAGAGTGCCCACAGCTGGCAGCATGTGTTTCCATTGGTGGTGCACATCTACATGTGTCTCAGTGCACAGAACAACGTTTATTCTTCACACAAATGGAAAAAATTAAAGGGAACATTGCTCACACTGGGGAGGTGGGTTGCAGCTCCCAGTTCTTCCATCTGAGTCTCTGTGTAGACTCAGGTAGTTGATGATGTGACTCTTTGGGTCACATTTTAGAGCCTTTCTCCTCACCCTACCAGCAGGAGACTTATCTTCTCAATGAATTTTGGGACACTGTGGAACCATCCCACGTTCCTGGTTGATTCTCTGTGCCACCATAGAGTGAGTTCCTGTCTGAGAAATACTGCTTTATTTTATGATCCCTAAGCAATCTCCCGTCTGGTGGAGTTGAGGAAATTATTATCGCCCGTTAGGATTATGGAATCAGCCATTTCTCCCTAGCCCTTGGCATCAAGGTTTATGCTAATAACTGAGTCTGTTTTGAAGTCAAGGTTGTAATTTCCAAAGCTGACTAATACCTCTTAAATATCCATCTCCTAAGGAAAATATCCATGGAGTCCTGCAAATCCATGGATATCTGCTTTATATCTGTGGGTATCCGCATCTGTGGATGTCAGTGCGAATATTGGTAGCTCCCGTTTGCAGATGCAGATGCAATTTTTGTATCTGTGCAGGGCTCTAACTATCAGAAGTTATGGAACCAAGCCTGGCCTTTGAGCAAGGCGGTTGCCTTGGGCCCCCGACATTCAGGGCCCCATGCTGCCCAGATCCCAGCCTTGCTCACCCAACCACTTACTCGCTGGCCTGGCTGGGGGCCGTGCGGCTCAGCCAAACACAGCATGCTGCCTTGGGCCCCACAAACTCTTTGGCCAGGCCTGTATGAAACTTATTCCTGGCTTGAGTGTGAATATCTCAAACTCCAGTCTACACTGGGTTCTCTTTAAAGTGAAGTGTTGGTGCCATTTTGACACCTCTCCTCTTCTACACACTCACACCCCCACCTCCTCCTTCCCACCTCCCAGTGTAAATTTTCTTTACAGAACAAACAGCGCTCTTCTAGGTCAACGTATGCGTTGTGTGATGGGAGCATGTATGTGCTCTAGGGATGTAAAATCCCTTTTAATTGGTTAACTGGTTAAACATAATGTTTACTGTATATGGTTAACTGATTAAAGAGGGACAGGTGGGGGGGTGTTCCAGCCAAGCTGGGGCATGCGTAGGCCAGGCCCACCATGGACAGGGGATGCTCCATCCAGGCTGGTATGCCTTCCACCAGCGTTGGGCCCTGGGGGGCTGAAGCAGCCCCCTGCCAATGGCAATCAGGCTGGTGCTCCAGCCCCCACTGGTTAACTGGAACCGGACAACATCACCTGGTAAGGTGATGCTTATGGTTAACTGGTTAGACGTTCACATCCCCAGTGTGCTCCAGCTGAGATCAGGGCCCTGTCACACCAAGTGCTGCAGACACAGACTCACACCAAGGCTAGGGCCCGTTGTCACACCAGGCACTGCCCAGACACACAGTGAGACAGTCCCTGCCCTGATGTGTTTACTATCAAAATGGCCAAAGGCTCATTATTGCTCTGTTGCGGGAAACTGAGGCAGGGCTATGTAAGGGGCTTGCCCAGGGTCATAGAGGGAGGCTGCGTGGCAGAACTCAGCATTGGAGCCAGGTGTCCTGCATCCGAACCCCTTCAGCGCAAGCCCCTCCTGCCCCGCTGGAATAATGGGAACTCCAGTTCCGCCAGTGCTGTGAGCTGGACCCCAGCCCATCTGCTCCCTCGTGTGGAGACGCTGGGGGGGATTGTAAACAGGGGAAAGGGAGCTCGCTGTATGTCATTGTCCCAGCACTGGGGGATGGGTGAGGGGGGCTTGCTCACTTGCGCCCCGGCAGTGACCCCAGGTGGCCTGGGGTTGGTTTGTTTGTAACATGTGGGGCTGGAGTCACAGCTGCTACAAGCAGGCACAGACTCAAGTGGAGTGATGCTGGTTTTGATTACAGCCGGGGACATGGTGGCTGGCTCCATTGACTCCCATGGACTGATGTGGGCTGGCACCAGACCATCACTGGCTCACGGGGTAGGGCAGAAATCAAAGCTGCCCGGGACTCTGATACTAGCGCCAGAGGCACCTTCCTGGAGAGCCCCATGCGGGACCCAAGTGTCACCCAGTCAGGCCCCCCTCCCGCAGGGGGTGGCATCGGCAGAGGGGCAGACAACAACCAGCTGATGGGAATTCTCCAGCTTAGCAGCCCCTGTCCAGTGCCCATCCTGCCTGCACAGACACTGTGTGGAGGTGCCACGGCCCTGCCTTTTACTCTGATGGAAGCCAGGCGGGGTGGAGCCAGTGCGTGCTGCTTCCCGTGGCCTGAGGGCAATCCTGGCTCATGGGGCACTTTGCCTGAAGCTCGCCACACAGCCCTGGCCTCTCAGCCCCAGGGGATTGGGAGGGGAACGCAGGGCTTGGCTAGGGACGCACAGCCTTTGCTGCGCTGGCTGACTGGCTGCATGGGCCCTATAGTGACGATCTCTCTCCCCAGACCTCTCCTGTCCAGTCCCACCAGGGAGGGGCTGCCCCCAGCCTGTCCCTGGGGACGAACTGTCTCTGCCCCTCATTTAATTTCACTTAATCCAGTTTTTCATCCCTGTGCCCAATGATTGTTTTTGGGGGCTGGGAGCCAGGGAATGAGACAGATGGAGGGCGGGAGGGAAGGGCGCCCAGTAAGGAGATTCCCACTCTCCCCTGCCAGAGCTGCACATCCCTGTTAATCCCACAGGGGAGGGGGGCAGAGAAGAGAGGGGGTCACCTCGTGTATGCCTATCCCTGTGCCCCTCTGGGAAGCTCAGGCCTAACCCCCTCTGAGTTTTGCTATGAGCATGGCAAGGGTCTCTCACTAGGTGCTGTGATGCAGCCATCTCTGGGGTGGAGCCTGGCTTTGTGTATATAGGGAATTCCTCACCCCATGTCAAGATGCTGCTGCTTCTGGGGTGGGGTCTGGAGTGGATTAACCCCTCGCCATGCGGCTGCACGCCTGTGCGGGAGAGGCAGTGGGAAGACGTCTGAGGAGGCAGAATGGAATTGCCTAGGACACCTCAACTCCTGTCCAAATGGGACCCTTGACGCCGAAGGACAGGGCTGCCGTGTCTGTCCAACAGGCGGCATCTTGTGGCACAGCGCCTCCTAGTGCTGCCCTGGGGTGTGGCGGGTAGCACTGACTGCGAGGGGAGAGCGCCCCCTACTGGGCTCCCCACCTCGCTCTCTGGAGCACAGCACTCCACAGTGTCCCAGCTCCAGCCCAAAGGCCCTGGGCATGGTGCCTGGCAGGTGAAGGGCAGGGACTGGCTGAGAAGAGCCCCCCACAACTGGCCCAGGAGCAGCCCACCTGACCCTCCCCAGTGGGGGCGGAGGAGAGTGGGGAGACGTTTGCCTGGCATCGCTCTGCTGGGCACGGCAGCTGCTGGGGAACAGACCAGGCAGGAGGGAGCTGCTGGTGGCCATGGCTCAGGACTCCTGGGTTCTGTGCCCAGCTCAGGGAATGAGGAATGTGCCAGAGATGCTGCCTCTTGCTCTCAAGGCTCCTTCACCCTGTTCCAAGGATAGAGGTCAAAGCCCTGCCCCCTGGGGATGATCCTGCTTCACCAGCTGGGTGTGACACCAGCCTCAGACTCCTGGGTTCTTGGGATGCTGGGGTTGGGGGAGCTCTGGTTCCTCAGCTGCATCCCGGGGAGAGTTCAGAGCCAGTGGGGCGGGGAGGGGCCCTGCAGCCCCTGCTGAGCCAGCAGGAGGGGGTTGGGGATTAGCTTAATCCGCCTCTGCCTGAGGCGCTGGGGATGTCGCAGCTCAGTGGCTGTGAGGAGCAGCTGGGACATGGGCCCAGACAGGAAAGCAGCCCCCTGGCCAAAATGCCCCATCACTGACCCTCAGAACAGGGGCAACGTACCCAAAATGCCATGGGGCAGTGTTCCCTGTAAGCTGTATGCTTGTGCGGTTTCTTGGGAAAGATTCAAATGCTGCCTGGCTGATTAGCAGAGCACCCACAGCTAGGGGTTTGTTTCTACTGGTGGTGCACATCCGCACGTGCCTCAGTGCACACAATAAAATTGATTCCGCACATGGATGAAAATGAGAGGGAGCATTGCTGGCGGGGAGGGTCACAGCTCTGCCAATGCCTCTCTTCCCTGATCCATGGCACAGCTGTCCCAGTCCTGGAATTCAGTAGTGGGTGCGGGGGGCTGATGCTGGATCTGCCCCAGCTGAGTGGGTGAGGTGCAGTGTATGCTGGGGAGCGGTGAACAGCACATGCAGTTGGCGCCTGCTGGCAATGGGTGACAGGCTGTACCTCATTGTCCATGGAAACATGAGACTGGTCCCAATCTCTCTCTCTTTCTTTTGCAGCCTCTTTGCTGGCAAGATGGTGAGTTTGTCCCACTCGTTTCATTATCAGTGGGAAATAGGTCAATGGAGGGATGATAGGAGTTACTATAGAGAACTTTCTGGGTGTCTGGCTGATGAGTCTTGCCCACATGCTCAGGGTTTAGCTGATCGCCATATTTGGGGTCGGGAAGGAATTTTCCTCCAGGGTAGATTGGCAGAGGCCCTGGAGGTTTTTCGCCTTCCTCTGTAGCATGGGGCACAGATCACAGCTGGAGGATTCCAGTAACCTTAGCACCATGAGCAACATCAGTCTTCTGGCCCTAGGGCTGCCAGGGCACTGCTGTGGGGAAGCTCACAGCACCGGAGCCCCAGCTGTGCAGGGCCAGGGGGCTGTTGCACAACAGCTCTGGCAAGGCCTTGCGTTGGGTGTGTGGTGGAGAAGAAGACGCGTGGGGGGTGCCAGCGTGAGGCAAAAATCTCTCCCCCCCCACCATCCCTTCGTTTCTGTTCCTACCCTCCCAGCTCACTGACCCTGGCGGATTGCTCTATTTACAGCCTTGCTCCTCAAGCTGCTTAGCTCGGGCTCCACGTGACCCGCCCCCTTTGGGGAGGAGAAGAGATGCTTTGTTTGAAAACCAGCTCCTGCCCTGGCCTCTGCTGCCCCCAGGCAGCTGGCACATGCCTCACCCTGTGGGGATTTACCCCCAGCCAGATCCATAGTGCCCCCAAGTTGGATCCACTTCTTGGGCACGGGCGCTCACCCTCCCAGCACTGCCCCCCAGGGAGAGCCGTGCCCTGAAGCACCAGGGCTCGCCCTCCCAGCCCCCATCTCCGTTGCAGGTGTCGCTGGATCAGATCAATGTGGATCAACCCCTGACCCTGAAGGAGCTGGACTGGGCTGAGCAGGGTTCCCTGCTGTCACTCAACCTTCCACGCCCCTCCTGGCGCCAGGATGTGTCTCTGAACTGCAAGTGCTCGCCGGAGGACACCCAGGTGCACGCCTGGACCACCTACTACTACGACCTGCTGCAATGCACCCTGCAGCAGGAGGGGCTGCCAGAGACAGTCGACCGCACCAAGGAGCCCCGAACAGGTGCATGCCAGCTCTCCCAGGGGTGTCACCATTCCTGGGTGGGGTCCACAGGGCTGGGGGCAGAGCCCTCTCCTGTGGCCCCAACCCAGGGGGATCTGGGAGCACAGCGCCCCCTAGTGCTGGGCTGGGAGGTGGGGCATAGCTAGGTGAGGCGAGCAGCAGCATAGTGCCCCCTAGTGCTGGGCTGGGAGGTGGGGCATGGCTAGGTGAGGCAAGCAGCAGCATAGCGCCCTCTAGTGCTGGACTGGGAGGTGGGGCGCATCTTGGTGAGGCAAGCAGCAGCATAGCGCCCCCTAGTGCTGGGCTGGGAAGTGGGGCGTGTCTAGGTGAGGCTAGCAGCAGCATAGCGCCCCCTAGTGCTGGGCTGGGAAGTGGGGGGGGGATCTGGGAGCACAGCACCCCCTAGTGCTGGGCTGGGAGGTGGGGCGTGTCTAGGTGAGGAGAGCAGCAGCATAGCGCCCCCTAGTGCTGGACTGGGAGACGGGGCATAGCTAGGTGAGGAGAGCAGCAGCATAGCGCCCCCTAGTGCTGGGCTTGTAGACTGGGCACAGCTGAGCTATGGAGGACAGGTGCATGACATCCCTTAGCACCAGGCTGGGAGACGGGGCTGGGTTATGGAGGACAATCACATGGCACCCCTTAGCGCCAGGGTAGAGCGGCAGGACGCTAATTCCTCCCCTGTCTCTCTTAGGGTTCAGCTCAGTGGACGTGACCATCTGCATCTTGGGATCCCCAACCTCGTACCTATCTGTGCTGCTGGAGGGCAGCTCTCAGTGCCCAGGTGAGGGCCACAGCCTGTATCCCTGCAGTGCCCATGGGCTGCAAGTTTCTCCTGCCCAGGAATGGCTGGGAATTCGGTGCCACTTGCCCTGAATGCCTGGGCTGACGGGCTCAGTTGGGGTCACCCCGGGACAGCTGAGGGGACTGTAATAAAATGTAGAATGTTAGTGTTACCTCAGACACCCCACCCCCCAAAGGGACGGGACCTTACTAGGCCATCTAGCCCAGGCCCCGACACTCAAGGCAGGACTAAGACATAACTAGACTATCCCTGACAGCTGTTTGTCTAAAAAAGAGACGGGACGGGACCTCACTAGGCCATCTAGCCCAGGCCCCGTCACTCAAGGCAGGACTAAGACATAACTAGACTATCCCTGACAGCTGTTTGTCTAAACTGTGCCTAAAAACCGCCAGTGATGGAGATTCCAGACTCTCCCTCGGCAATTTATTCCAGTGCTTAGCCACCCTGACAATTAGACAGTTTTCCTAATGTCCAGACAATTAGACAGTTTTTCTAATGTCCAACCTAAACTGCCGTTAGTGTGATTTAAGGCTATCGTGTCTTGCTCTATCCAAGAACAATTTTTCAGCCTCTTCCTTGCAGCAGCCTTTTATGTACTTGAATTCAGCATATGTTTTAGCATTCCACCCTGGCCACCATCCTCTGATCGTTAAGCCAGCCTGCCAAGCCCTAGTCTTCACTGGGAGCAGAGTTAAGGTTTGGCAGCAGCAGAGCAGTGACTAAATGCAAGCGTTTATTAATTGACTTTCTGACGTGTTTCTTAAGTCTTCCAATTCCTCACTCCAACTGGAAGAAAAAAAAATGACTTATGGTGTTCTAACAACACCCATTCAAGTGGCTCTATACCATCCACATTCTGGGTTAACAACATTTTTAATCTAGGAATTTCCTTCCTTTTTTTGGTTTACAAAAAGGAAACATAAGTCTCTTCATTAGAGCTGTGTGACTAACAAATGTTTCTGTTCGCTGTTGGCTCTGGAAAAACACATTCAAGGAACCAAAATGTAAAAAAAAATGAGTTTGGGGCCCAATGAAACACTTACATATATTACACTTTTCGATTCTGCACGTAAACCAATATGGACAAGTACGCACACACACAGAGTAAGGTACAAAAATCAGTTTAGAAAAAAGTCACGTGCAGAGTGTTTGAGAGGGGAGGAGTTTTAGGGAAATCCATGCAGGAGAGGTATGCAAAAACATCAGGCAGGAAATTTGCTGCTGAGGAGCATCTTGGCTTTGTTAGATGCTTGGCCCCTTAACTGCAATTCGTCAGGGATTTGCCTTTTGCTGGCCCTATGGAAATGCAGCCAAATTTGGTCAGGTTGTCAGCCTTTGAAAAATCGGACTGTGCACAGACTCAGGAAGGATTTGGGCAGCTACGTGCTCTGAGGGCTCTGCCCTCGCTGAGCGCCCCGTCCCCTCTGCTCTGAGAGGAGGCCAAGTGCCAGCTCCACAGAGTGATGGACATACTCCAGCCTGGGACTGCAGGGGCTGAGCAGGACTTCCCCACTCATGGCTGATCCTGGCTGCGGTGGTGCCAGGCACCGGCGCTGAGAGCAGGGGCACTCGGTCTCCTGTGCTCTCAATGACCTGCCTCCCTACCCCCGGGCCCAAGCAGAGAGGGGAGGAGGCCTGAGGAACCAGAGGGTGTCTAGGATCAGAGGGGCTGGAGGGTATGTAGGCCAGAGGAGGGTGGATAAGACAAAGAGCAGTAGGGGAGGGATATGGAGAGGGTTGGATAAAGGTAGACGGGGAGTGTGTGGGACGAACTGCCAGGAAGTGGGTGTGGGGTGTGGGCGGAAGTGACGGTGCAGGAGCGTGTTGGGGGATTGGTGTGTCCAGGAGGGTGGTAGGGTGCAGGAGTGGAGTGGGGCTGCAGGAGCAGGCTGGGATGGAGGAAGTGTTGCCTCTAAGATTTTCCAACCATGAACGGTGTGAGTTTTGGCTTGTGCACCAATATTGAGGTTATGTGCACTGGTTTGGATGCGTGCCACCGTGGCACCCAATTTATCAACACAGGACAGGGTGGCTGGATGGGGGAGAAGGTGCTGTGGGAGGTAGATAAGGGAAGGGGGAGGGGAGGAACAGGTGTGGGGAGGAGCAGAGTGTGGGGGGGACAAGGGGAGGGAAAGGGGCTAGTATGTATTTGGTGGTATGGGGAAAGGGAGGAGCTGGGATGTGTGGGGGGAGGGCTTGATATATGGGAAGTGGGTGGGGGAGAGGCTGGAGAGAGGGGGAGGTGTTGGTATGTGGGGGGAGGTGAGGGGATGGAGCTGGTATGGGGGGATGGGAAAGGGCTGGTATGTGAGGGAGGGGCTGGTATGTGGGGGAAGATGAAACAGCATATAGGGGTGTGGATAGGAGCAGTAGGGGAGCAGGACCCAAGCTGAGAATTATTGTCATGCCCCTGCCCAGCTCCGGGGCTGCCCGGCCTCTCCTCTCAGCCATAACTTTGTCCTAGCAAGGTCCTTGGGCTGAAGGACTCCGGCCTGGGCCAGTGGAGGGCTGCCAGCAGTTGTTCCACATTCCTGGCACGCGGCTGCCCCGTCTCCCTTGCAGGGGTGCTGGGAACTGGAGCCGAGCGGCTCAGGTTTCTCTTCAGCCCTGGGATGACTCCTGCCTTTGTTAAAGCCGCTTACCCTTGCGGGGAAATGCAATTAGCAGCTCAGCCCCCATCGTCCCTCTTGGTGATAAGGAGAGACCCAGCATCCTCAGTCTCGCTGCTTGACACACTCCAGGGTCCCTCTCCTGGCCCAGCGGTGCAGCTACCTCTGGGGTGTGGCAGCTGATGAGCAGGAAGGAAAGCCTGGAGTGCAAGGCAGGGAGTTTGGCTCCTCTGCTGGGCGCTGGCCCAGTCGGCGGGTAGGAGCTCCGCAAGTGGGTACAGATCTCTGTCTGTGTCTCTTATGGAAGGTGGCGCCACCACCAGGAGCACAGCACCCCCTAAGGGCGGGACTAGTTCCAAACACAAGCACACTCCTTGCAGCATGGCGCCCCTATTTTGCATTGGGGCATAGGGGTCAGCAGTGAGTGCAAGGGCAGAGCGCCCCCTACTGATTCCCCCACTCTGCTCTCTGCAGCACAGTTCCCTGTCCTGTCCTGCTGGGGCATGGGGCAGCGGTAAGGGCATGGGGAGAGCGCCCCCTACTGAGCTCCCAAATACAAAACAGGCCGGCACCTTCCTGCCTTGTGAGGTGTGGGGAGAGGAAAACCCAGGACAGCAGGGATGGAGAACTTTTTATGGGCCTGCTGACCCACAGAAAAATCACTTGGGGGTTGCACAAAAGTGAGAAACAAAAAACCCCCCAAACAAAACCCCCTCACTGACATGGCCCCTGACTGAAAAGCAGAAAGACACTCCCCACATTCCCCTCACACATCAGAGCTGGGAGAGGGGGGGCTGGGCGAGTAGATTTTGTAGGCACCCCCTAGGATCTGGGGTGCAGCAAAAAATGAGGGGTTCAGTGTGTGGGAGGAACTGCCAGGAAGTGGGTGTGGGCGGAAGTGACGGTGCAGGAGCGTGTTGGGGGATTGGTGTGTCCAGGAGGGTGGTAGGGTACAGGAGTGGAGTGGGATGGAGGAAGTGTTGCCTCTAAGATTTTCCAACCATGAACGGTGTGAGTTTTGGCTTGTGCACCAATATTGAGGTTATGTGCACTGGTTTGGATGCGTGCCACCGTGGCACCCAATTTATCAACACACACACCTTCCTAGCCACCGGAGCAGAGCTCCTTCCCCCCACCCTGTCATGCAGCAAATCCCATTCCCACCCTCAGCTGCCAAACCAGGCCCCGGCTCCCTCTGTCACGTAGCAGCCAGACCAGGCCTCCCCACCAGCCACATGGCAGGTCCCAGCTGCTCTCC